TGCTTCCATCACTGGAAGGATTGAATTGGATTCAGGTTTAAGAATGAATTGCACATATACAGATGGAATAGCAGGACAAAATATCATTGTGACCAATTTTAATATTCTTGATAGCAGACACCAGTTTCTTCAGATACAACATGCTATTTTATCTCTCAACACACATGGAATATATATTTTGCTGTGTAATATACTTTAAATATAAGGATTATTACACACATTCCTGTAAAAAAAGGTTCCCCTCCTTCTCTGGTAAAGCATGTGTTTTAATTTTCAACCAACCCTGGCTTATTGTGGGACAAACAGTAGTTCGTGTCAACTGTGGTCTATTTAAACAAGCAAACCTCAAACCACAATTAATAATCCTGGTTGCTTCTAGAGGAACTCTTAATCTTTCATAAAACCAGGCAGTCAGAAAAGAAAGCAAGAGGAGGAAGAGCTGCTGTGATCAACAGCTCCCTCGTGCTCTCTCCCTCTCTGCAGCTTCAGCAGTTGCGGTGGCTAGTTGCAATGCGAAACCTTTGTGGCAACCTTTCTTCCCACCCACAAATAATATCGCACTCCATGGGAGGCCACCTCATCCTTTCAGAACCGGTGGCTTTAGAGGCAAATACACTGACGGGGTTTTTTTTCCCATCAAAGCTAAAGATAAATCAAAGTGTAATAATGACTGCACCACCGAGCTTCCTTTCAGTGTCTTATTTCTCTAAAGCTACACACATCTTGGACCAGAATGCTGACATCCGTGTCTCACTTGGAATAACAAATGGCTTTCCTGGGGCTTCCTGATACACAAAACAGGAAACCTTCTGTTGAATCAAGCCTGCCAGAACTAGCGGAAGCCACCTCCTTGTTAATTAACCCTTCCCTATTCTGTCACCTAGCTTCGGCAAGGGTGACAAGATGGCCTTCCTGTCATGTGCCCCTCCTCCAATAGGCAACGCCTGTTGGGCAGCTGCCTCCGCCTGCTCCATCCTGACAAACATACTTGAATAGAATGGTGTGGAATGCCACTCTGGACCCCTGTCAGCCCTGTCACTGGCATCGCCCCTTCCTTCTGATCACCTCCTCCCTTGACATTCTCTGGGTTGCAACCCTCCAGCTGAACCTCGGAGAGCAAATCTTTTACCTCAAGAAGTGCAGCATAGGTTAGCCAACTTTAGACCTTGTTTCTTTAGACCCAAGTATCCACTCAATTTCCCCGTTATACTCATTTAGCAGATAAGTCTGTTGGTTTGGGTCTGAGGTCTAAGTGTGAATTCCTGGCATTTTCAAGAATGGTCTTGGTCATTCTCTCCTGCCGCCTAGTTCAGCTCGGAGGGTTACATGGTTACTGCCATGAAGAAGCAAGAGGAGAGCATTCTGCTTGCTCCTGGTCCAAAGGTCTCTGCACATTATTCCCTAACTCCACCAGATAACTTGCTCATAGCTCTGTGGCCTCCCTACCCAGGGTTAGAGAAAAAGGGGGTGGTGGCTGCATCCAACCAATTATAAAGGTGCAGGCACTGCTAGCCCATCTCACAAGGTAGTTGTGGCACACTAGAAACATTACATTTACATATTTTAATTGATTTTCCTTGTGGTCCAGCCTGGTGAGTGAGTGTGTGTGTGTGCGCGCATATGTATGTTGTTACATGGTGAATCCACTGAGCTTAGCTATAACAGAGTAATAGTATTATTGAATGCAGTTTATTTAAGGTGTTTCTTCCCTAGATATATGCAACCTTTCATAACCTATTAAGTTAGAGTGCTTTCTGATAATGAATCCCCTTGTGGCAGAACTCTGCTTATGTGGGCCAAAACAGCCACCATTAGATACTCAAGCCATCACTTACAAAGAGCTCTCCATATCAGCATCTGTCAAAGAGAGACGGATTATTAGCTAAAATGCCAGATAATCTGTTTGCTTGATGCATGTGTTCTTAATATTTAGCAACACCATGTGCTTTCCATCTGGATTGCCATTAGAAGATCCATCACTAAGCAAAGACAGACAATCCACCAGAGACCCCAGTGTACTAGGAGGTACCTGAAGTGTCAAAGCTGTCATTATGTTGCAGGTGGTATGTCACTACCCCAGCATTTCAAAGTTCTCATTGTTTGCTGACATGAAATACATGGATTCTCTACTGGTTCCTTGTGCCTATTTGTATTATGCACCTATTTCTAGGAGGGTAGAGGGTAAAATCAGAGAAGCAACCAGCTCCACGAGTTGCTTTTGCTTGTATGTAAGAGATTATTGTTCTAACCCAGGGTGAAGGTCCAAGTGCTTTGGGCCATCCTCTGTTTAATCACGGCTTTGCTTTTGAGCTTCAAATTCCCCCCTGCCCCCAGTTTTTCCATCTTTTTGTCTCTTGTACTGCTGATTGCTACAAGCACCTTATACATTACCTTACAATTCTCTTTCATATCATGGCTTCTCTAAAATCCTCCTCCTCCTCCTCCTCCTCCTCCTCCTCATCATCATCATCATCATAGAGCAGGTCAAAATAATAGTAAAACAACTGATAAGACCTCTAGTAAAGTCCAACCAGGTTGGTACAAACAAACAGCTAATAATTGGGTCCAAAATCATCTAAGGCTTTGTAGCTCATCACCACCACCTCTAATATAGACCTGAAATAGATTGGAAATCATTGCAGCTTCCTTCCTGAGCAATGTTATAAGATCCCAAGAGCTTTTCCTGTCAGCATCTTGGCTGCATCACTTCATACCAAATACGATTTCTAGGTCGTCGTCGAGGGTGGCCCTATATAAAGTGCATTACAATAACCCAGATGTGAGGTTACCGGAGCACAAGTCATGGTGGCTTCTCTATCCAGGAATGCTGTAGCCGGCATACCAACCAAAAGAGAACCAAGGTTTGCCATGCCACTGAGGCCACCTGGGGTTCCAGTGACATACCTAGATCAGGGACGAGGGAAGGGGCAGTAGAACCCCATCCAGAACAGGCTCTCTACACCCAGTTAGCAGAACGGCTTACTCAGGGGTTGTCCTTTCTATCAGGATCCGGTCTAGTAGCCCTCCTCCAGTCAATTACTGCCACCACTGGCACAGCCCCACCTGACTCTGATGACAAGAAAAGAGAGATCTGGGTTTGCTGGCACACTGCTGGTACCTTGTTCCCAGTCCTGTTCATCTCCCCCAGTCACTTCATATAGGGATTAAAAGACAAGGGAGACAGAACAGAACCATAGCACAATTGCCACATAGAAACCCTCCAAGGCCACTTTTTGGGATCAAGCTAGGTAGGAGTGGAGTTACCACTTCACTGTTCCTTCAATTCCCATCCACAGACTTGATCTGATAGGACCCTGGATCACTTGTACCAAAAGCCACTGAGAAGTTCAGAGGAACCATCAGGGATGTAGTCTGATGAATGGCCTTTGCCAGGGGCTGGAACACCTGCCTCATGGTCTGTGGCAATTGGCAAGGGCCACCTGCATATTGATAAGATCATGTTTCAAAATTTGGGATGGCCATTCCCAGAAATGTTCCATAACTGTGAAGCCAGCTTCCTTGGAAGTGGTAGACTGCCCCACATTAAAGATTATAAAGCAGTGTTTGGCCACCTGTGAGGGATGCTGTAGCAATGAATGTCCATCATTGACTAGGATTGGACTAGATGACCCATGAGACCCCATCTAGCTAGATATTCAGTATTCTGCTGCATGCACAGCCTATATTTATGAAGTCTTCTAACAACAATTTTATCATTACAGGCCAGTTCTCAGTTAATGTGTGCAATGACAACTGTGAAGCAGGCCTTTGTGGGATGTTATCTTCTGTAATTAACACATGAACATATTTTCCTTACACCTTGTATTTACTCTGATAATGCTTGCAAACCACACAGATGACTGCTGCTTTTATCTTTGGGACTCAGCTTGCTCCTTAGCAACAAGCAAGATGCATGCTTAATAATATTGGGACTGTTGTGTTCTAGGTTGCTTATTGTTAAGAAAAATGGATCAAGTGATACAGATTCATCCGCACTAATCTTGTTTCTGTACCAAACTAGGGAGGTGACTGGAAACCCTGTCTATCCTTTGAACCATCTAACAGCACAACACAGTTCAATGAAGCTTCAAATCGTTTTCACAAAATATGCAGTTAAATGAGAATTTTATAGGAATATGACAGCTCCCCTTTAAAAGTGTGAAAGAAGAATATTGATTTTTCACTCCTCAAAAGAAACCCTATGGCTGGCTCTGGCTTTTATAATGTCTTTGTGTAGGCACTCACTGCTACCTGACTCTACATAGATACTTGAAAATAGGGCCCAGACGGTTTCAGTAACGTTCCCTATTGAGAACTTATCTTGTAGGATTGCAGTGTATAAAAGGGAAAAACTTGTTGCTGGGTGTTTGCCTGGCTATGTGATTAGAGTTCCTGCAAGCAGCGGAGAGAGCTGACAGTTTTGTCCAAGGGTGTGATCTCCTTGCCATGTGAGGAAAGCACTGAGACAGTTGACTTCTAACAGGTGAAGTGTTAGAAACTTAACTTTAAGATTCTTCTTTAAGATTCTTAATTTTTTAGGATTCTTTGGATTCTAGAGATTCAGACATTTACTATTAACAGGAAAAGTAGCCTCATTATATATATAAACTGTGGCTTTGAAATTGACCTGTTCAGGAGGAGCCTTCCTGAACCAGTAACCTTCCTGTAATCCTTCAGACTGGACACTGCTTCTGACACTGAGCAGCTATTGTCTGCATAATGAAGCTTGCCTTGTATCTGCCCATGGTTTGGCTTGCCTGCTGACCCTGTGGTTCTATTCTGCTTTGGTCAATACCGAGGGCTGAAAGCTGCTGGCCGATACCGAGACCATGCTTACAACACTTCCACCCTGGACTGGGTCGCTGCAGGATTTGGGGCCAGTCAGGCAGAGGAAAGCTGCAGATTGTGGCTGAGCTAGAGGGCTGCTTGATTTATGCTACTTACCTCTACCTCCACATTGACTAAAGGCATTTTCTCTTAAATTTTCTCTTTTTAAACAGTCTGTGACAATGTGAGGGCCCAAGCCCTGGTGAATGCAGGACTCCAAGACTCAGATGGCTGCCCAGCTGCACCTGGAATGCCTCTAAGTGCAGGAGCACCCATGAGCTCCCTAGGTAATTGTCCCTCACATTTTCACGGCCAGAGGCTGTTCAAACAGACAGGAAGACGTTCTTTCTGATGTTCGGCTGTATTAGTTACAGAAGGCTCTGAATGGGCAAGTAGTTTGCACATCTGCTCAGTCAAAGGTCTGGCAGACATCCTTCCCAGCAAAGGTACAAAAATATTTTTCTGGGACTGGCACACAGCATGTACACTGAGCCTTACATATACAAAGGCAATGGAATATGGGGATATTTAAATACTCATGCAGATATGCAGAAGACATGGTCTGGAAGAATAATTCCAGAAATGCCTTCCTCAGAAACATTGAAACAGAGTGAGTCAGAAGGGGCCTCCTGGGCCATCTAGTCTGACCCCCGGCTCCAGCTGGCTCCACTCACGACATGCCTACCATGTGCATGTCTAGCCTATCCTTGAACACCCTCACTGATGGGCCTCAATGACCTCTTGTCCACATCCTTGGGGTCCTAACTGTCAGGAAGTGCTTCTTGGCATCTAAAAGGAACCTTGGTTCCCTGAGCTTTGCTCTGTTGGAGCGCATCCTGCCTTCCTCTGCAGGGGAGGTCTCTTCCCACCTCTGTGTGACACCCCCTCACATACCTGTATGTCACCAACGGATCCCCTCTGAGTCTCCTCTTCTCCAGGCTGAAGAGACCCAGTTCCCTCAGTCTCGCCTCACATGGCATCTCCTGCAAACCGGCCACCAACCTTGTGACCCTATGCTGCACTGACTCTAACCTGGCTATATCTTTCCTGTAACGAGGGCCCCAAAACTGAGCACAATTCTCCAGTTGCGGGCGCACTAGAGTCATGTAGAGTGGTAGTAATACCTCTCTCGATCTAGAAGCCACACTTCTGGCTATACAACCAAGGATGGCATTTGCCCTCTTGACCACATCACACTGCTGACTCATGTTTAGCCTGCAGTCAACCAGCACCCCGAGGTCCCTTTCACAAGTGCCGCTCTCCAGCCACTCATCCCCTAACCTGTACTTATGACACCCATTCCTATGCCCCAAGTGCAAGACCTTGCACTTATCCACATTGAATGGCATCCTGTTGTCTCCTGCCCACTTCCATAGTCTGTCCAGATCCTTTTGGATCTGGAGTACCTGCTCCTCAGTTGTGGCCACTGCTCCAGTTTTAGTGTCGTCTGCAAATTTGATCAGCAGACTGTTCACCCCTTCTTCCATGTCGTTAATGAAAAGATTAAACAGGATCGGCCCCAGGACAGAGCCCTGGGGGACCCCGCTTGTCACTGGCCGCCATCCCGATGATTCCCCGCTAATGGTTACCTTCTGCTTTCGGTCAGTCAGCCATGCCCTAATCCACTGGACAGTGCTTTGGTGTATCCCAAAACTCCTCAGTTTCTCCACCAGGTTATCATGGGGCACTTCGTCAAAGGCCTTGCTGAAATCCAGGTATACCACATCCACTGCATCCCCTCCATCTAGCCATCTCGAAACCTTGTCATAGAATTCCACAAGGTTTGTCTGGCAGGACCTGTTTTTGCGGAAGCCGTGTTGTGTGGCTCTCAGCCTCCCTTCCCTATCTAGCATCACTAGATCTCTCGCTATTATGAGTCTTTCCATTGTTTTTCCTACAATGGACACAAGGCTAATTGTAGGACTGAGTAAGTCAAGGAACTATAATTGGTTGCTCATCCTTGTAAAGATGGCACTGTCTAGTAAATCCTGTTTGTTAAATGGTTCCAAAGCCTTTAATAACACCCTATGAGTATGACCTATCTATTTTTAACCTCTGACTCACTTTGATGAAAGGAAGCCAATGAAAGGAGCATGGCTGACTCAAAAGTGATTTTTAGGTGAATGCCTCCCACCCTGCCCGCACACCCCAACACACACAAGCAATATGTGAAGTGGCCCTTAATTGCAAAGAACATTTTCAAACATACAGGTAGAAGCTGCAAGAAGCAAACTTATGCTTGCTGCAAAAATACTGGTCTTCCAATATGATCACTGGTTGCTTTCACTAGTCAGCCATCCCTGCTGGCTTCCATTTAGCTGTTCTTAATGCCAAACAGCAAAGGACAACCTAGAAGGTACAAATTCATATGTCTGTGTGTCTTTGCATAGTTTTCAATACACAAAGCATGTTGTTTGGTTCAGGGCTACTGTTTAGACTTCCTTACTAGTATTAACACTTTAAAAACTTCACAGAGGACCATTTTACAAAACTTTTCTTTCTTAGTAGCAAGTTGTGGACCACCATTAAAGCCACGTGGCTGCTGCTTGGTGAGCTGCATGGTCTGTCCCCACCACTGCTTTGAAATATCATTTAATCTTGATTTAAACTGCACAAACCAAGTAAGGCATCTAAGCATGGTTGGATAGAATATGCTATTATAAGGCGACAAAGGTTTCTATTCTCCACTAGGGCTGCTGTGGACATCCCGGTCTGGCCCCCAAGCATGTACTTCAGCATACAGAAAGCCCTTCAACTCAACCACTGGACACACATTCTGAATTCTAAAGCTGAGTTGTCACAAGTTGAATATCTGTTCCTTCAGAGATTATAATGAAGAAGGGTGAGAACTTCCCAAATGAATTGCACAGACAGTTGCCCATTCATTTTTGGATTCCTCTAACTCTTTCAGCTTAAAGTGGTTCTTCTAAGCATGACTACCGGTGCTTTCATAAACCAGAGAATTAACTATTCTAGATACCTTGTAGCTTCCAGAAAAGGGTTTTATTCTCCTTTGTATTTAGCTTGGTCTGATCCCTAAATTGTAGTAGATTTCACAACTATATTTGAAATGTATTTGTTTACTTATCTTGCTGTAGATGCATGTGAACTAAGGAATAGTGCTTGAACATTTATCTGCCTCTGCACAAATGAGAATTTTGCAGCTAATGGCATAAGAACAGCCATGTGGGATCAGACCATCTTGTCCAGCATTCCATTCGCACAATGGTCAACCTGCAATCCACAGGACACCCACAAGCAGGACCTGAATGTGACAGTACCCTCCCACCCATGTTCCCCAGCATACTGGACATAGGCATACTGCCTCTGATACTGGAGATAGCATGCAGCCATCACTGGAGCCTTCTCCTCCATGAATTTGTCCAGGTCCCTTTTTAAAGACATCTAGATAGGTGGCCCTCGAAGTGAATTCCATAGATTAACTATGAGCTGTGTGAAATAGTACTTCCTTTTATCTTCTCTGTGTCTCCTGCCAATCAGTGTCATGGTTACCTTACTGAGGGGGAAAGTAATCTCCTTAACCACTTTCTCCACACCATGCATAAATCTGTACACCACTGTCATATCTCCCTTCACTTGCCTTTTCCCAAGATGTTGTAATTCTCTTGATATTTCAGTTATCTGTTTTTCACTTTGCTTAACTGTATTATCCTTTTTCAGACGCAGTGACCAAAACCGTGCACATTAAAGCCTATTTGCTTTTTGACGCACATTCTTCCAGTCCTGAAAGATCCTTCTGGAGCTCCTTGTAATCACTTTTTGCTTTAATCATCCTAAATAATATGGTATTGTCAACAAACCTATCTACTTCACTGATTCCACTTATTCATAAATGAGCTAGAATTAAGAGTAAAAGCATTGTTCCCAATTAAAATCCCTGTAGAACCTTACTGTCTATATCCCTTCACTAGAAGAATCATTGGGGGATTTATTCTTACTCTGGTTTTCTGTTCTTTGATGAGATATCAGTCCATAGGTTGACCTGTCCTTTAACTCCATGACTAAGTCTGCTGAGGCAGCTTCAGTGACAGACTTAGTCAAAAGCCTTTTGGAAGTCCAAGTAAACAATGTCTACTGGAACAACCCTGTCCGTGTGTTGTCCTTAAAAGGTTAGTGAGACAGGACTTACCCTGGAGAAACAAGTTAATGCATGCAGACTTGCACAATCATTTTAACAATCAGTATGTATTGCTTATTTAACCATCAACCCATTTATTTGTATATCTTCATTAAACTGTACTTACCACATTACTGTTGGTGATTGTCCAATATGCTGCCTCTACTGATGCACAGAACATCACAGCAAAGCAGAAGAAACCCTACAAATAAACAGAAGGCACCATTAGAATAAATACTTCTGGGAAGTACTAGCCTGGAGATTCCTGATATTTGCATTGATATGCGGTTTCACGTATTTTTTTAAAGGAGGTTCTGGCTGGTAAACCCAAAATTCCAACATGTACATCAAACAACCTTCCCGCCAAAACGGCTTCCCCATTAATGGATCGCCTTCTGTTTGCAATGCATGGTCTCTCCCTGCAGCCTGGTTGTTTCATCATCTCATCTCCCAATTTTATCTCTTTTTGTCCCTCTGTCACCCTCTATGCCTCTCCTCATGCATCTTTGCTCTCTCACATGCTTTGTGTCACACGATTCCTCTTGCACATACACACTGCCTACTTCTTTCTCTCCCTTATCTTTCCCACTACTAAGCACATATCCCCAGCTTATCCTCACACTGTTCATGATGAAGCTTCTGTGACAGGTGGTTTCTGATTAGATCACTACACAATCAGAATGCCCAATCAACTGAAGCTTATTTATCTGGCACTCACAACCAATGAATCAATTGTTTGGATAATACGTTGTCATAAACATCAGTTTAAACAGCTTCTGTTTAAACAGCTTCTGGAAATACGATGTGAAGTGTAAAACAAACAAAAGCTACCAATCCATTGTGAAAAGGGGAGACTTTCTTAAATATTTGTTCCCTCATATAGCTTTACACTAGAGTTAAATAGCCACCAACACATTCACATGTCACCTTTATTCCCAATGATGAATTGTTGAAAGCTAACTTTAATCAACTAATGCTTTAGTTTCTTAACATACGGATTCCCGCTTTCAGCCTTATGAGAACTATTGAGTTCCATGCATACTGTTTTGACTTCCTTCCACTTGAGTAGACTGTTGTACCACATGCCTTCATTTCAATGGAGTTTAGACATGGGCTGTGCCCATGGCTTCCAAAATAAAAGCCAGCCTTCACGTCAGTGTTTTGTGATGAGTTTTAGTAAAGATGAAACCATGTAAAAAATCATGTGGAAACCCTGCCACGGACAAATCCAATTTACTCCAGACAAATCCAGACTCTGAAAACTCCTCGCTGACATACTAGTCAGCCAATGTTCTACCATGGATTTCTTTATTTCAAGCAAGTCCATGCATGTACAAGAATAGTCTTATATTTTATTGTGATTCAACTTTCAAGTATCCATGCCAACAAACATCGATTCATGCTGTGATTAATTGTGGATCACAATGCTGTTCAAAGCCTCTCTCATGTATTTCATCACTATCACTGGTATACACCTTCCAGTACAGGAGAAAGACAAGCAGAAAAGGTAAGCTCAGCTCTTTTAGTCAAAATTCCCTGGATTGTTAGCATATAGACAAAGGACATTCTTCATATGTTTTGCTTAATACATACAATGGACCACTTTAGGTAACATTTTGAATCATATCAACCAAAATGTGTTTGTGTCTGTTATCTTTTTCTGTTCATCTACATTACAATGAATATAGAATATATATACAGTTCCATATAGATCTGTTGGCCATATCATTTTTCTTGTAATTTACCAGAAGCTCTAAGAATGAACTCACTGGACCATCTAGTCCAACATCAGTCTTAAAACAGATTGGTATCTAAAAGAACCCAACTCAGGTCAATCCAAACTTTACTTGGGCTGATTCACAAATACACACACACACAGAGCTCCAAGTTTGATCGCCTGATCACTCAAGTCCTCAAGTTACAGGCGAATGTGTAAATTGTCTCCACTGAAAAATAATACCTTTCAAATCAGGGCTGAGCAGATGGTAGATCACCAAGAGATCTCCCAGTGGATCCTGATCTGAAGTAAATTGGCAAGGATTTCTTACTGCTAGTTGTTTCACAAGAAAACAGCCACCCCACCATTACAAATTCTATTTCTGAAATTTTTAAAAAGCGGGGGTGGGGCTGGTAACCAGGGATGGATTTACATGGGCAGAATGGGCACTCTATTTAGTTCTGGTACCCAAACCTAATTTCTTAGCTCAAAACAATCTAATACTGTGTGCATCTCTTCTGCCCCAGTTACTGGGTGATGATCTGGGGTTCTAGTTTAAAATGTATATCCTGCAAACCTGAAGTCTGCCTACTCACTTTTTAGGTAGTTTTGGTGTTTGACTGATCTGTAATTCAACTGGTGTTGGTCATCGCTGAATGGAGACTGAATACGAGTGAATTCCTTCTCAGGAAATCAGTTATTCCATCAGCCTGGTCTCTCTGTTAGGGCTGGATTATCCATCACAGATGCCTCCCTGCCTGACTTTTAGCATGTAGAAATACTTTCAGACTGGAACTCGAGGGTCCACATCTTCTCTGAGGAACGGTCACCACAGGAGGCCATTTTCTCGAACAACCCGATGGCAGCGGTAGCATGTATCCCAGTGCTTAGGATGCTTAATGGCAAAGGAAACATACAGGGGCAGTATCCAACAAGAACCCATTGCTAGTAGATCGAAGGGAACTGATACAGCTGCAGTAGGACACAGCTGAAAATAACAGTTGTGTGTGTTGGGAGAAGGCCTTGTAGTTCCCCTTTATTCTCACACTCAGGGCCTTATTTCATGGAACATTAATGTGTAATTTTGTACTACATAAATATTTTAAAAAACAGATAACAATTGGTGAGACTCCAACTAGAATTGGGACTGTGGCATGCAGGGAAGAATTTTTAACTTTTTCCTGACGGCAATCACAGCTAAATCACCTCTCCCCCTTTTGAAAGTTGCTCCTTGTGGAAGCTGAGCTGTGCCAAATAGCATCTTTGTGGCACAGGAGCAAAGGGTGAAATTCTCCTGGCATGTGATCCCGCCTCCCCCGCCCTTCCCAGGTGTAGCTATGTGGTATCTCTAGCTCAGAAAAAAATGCACAATACCAAACTTTCAGAGTGGGAACAGCCAGAGAGTGCATTTGTACAACTGGGCATTTAGTGAACACATTTAAGATTAGAGGCAGCACTGAAGCCAGGAAGAATCCAGTACGGGAAATTATGTGTCAGTATGCATAGGCCTGTTCTTGTGCTTTTGTTTGCTTTTCTTCATATACCTTCCATGGACTGGGCTGAGCAGTAGCAATTGTTCTGCTCAGAACCATTTTCTGAAAAGAGAAGTGCAATTTTTAAACACGCCTCAGGTCAGTTGATATTCTGATTGAAAAATCTGGTACTCAATAGATAGGAACGCAGGAAGCTGGAAAATTAGTGTTGAGGTGCAATCCAAGGCTTACCAAAGTAGGCTGCTGTGCTATTAAGAGTCCTTGAAATTACACCTCTGGAATGGGCAAAGCTTCCAGAGTATGTTAATGATCCACTTTGGAGGTTTATATAATTTGCCAATACATATGAAAACAAAGCCAGATCAGGCAGACACTGAAATTCTAAATTTATAACTATCACCCCAGAATTTGTTGGTGGTTAAATTGGCCAATGGAACAACCCTCTTAAAAAGATTCTAAACTTATACGGAAGGATGACTTAGTGGTAAAATTATACTGCATCCTGACTGCATTTGATACAACTTCCAAAGGCTGGGTAGCAAGTCCATCCCATCCTGGTTGTGTGCTCAGACGCAAGAAACCCAGACCGGAGAGCAAGATTCCATGCCACTTGTAGGAGAGAAGCCACCTGCAGATCTAACTTGCAGCCCCATTCCATGTTCCTACCAATCCGCCCACTTGCTGACACCAGCGAGTAGTACAATACCCTCACAGCCCACATAATTCAGTCACAGCAGTCACCGCAGTAGCTGTGCTAACGGCAGCACCAGCCACTTGCAGCTCTCCGAGTGCCATCAGCTGCCACAGGCCAGCATTTAACTGGCAACTGCCCATTCTCTCCTTGTCTAGACTACTAATAAGATAAGGAGTAATGGCCTTCACTGTGTCTAAAGCCATAAGGATCAGGGGCTGCAGCGACTTTTAGCACATGAACTAAACTGAACTTCAGAAAAGTCGTCAGGATCTGCATTCCAATCGTGGGTGGGACTAAAGTCCTGAAGGGTATGGCCAGAATACTAGCATATTACTAGCATTTTGGTGGTCAGATGAAAGAGGGTGTCATACGATTGAGTAGGGTTCTCCTCTTGATGATGCTTCATTCACCTGGGGTTTGATGGATGACAAGATGGAGCATCAAGATGCTCTTGACAGAACTCAGTCATTCAAAAAATAGCTAAAATCCAGAAGCAAGCAGAGAGAGAGAGACCCAGTCCTGGCCTTCTTCCACATGGCATTCATTCAAATTAGTCATGACCAAAATAAGGCCATCTGGTTTCAGTGGGTACAGCTCTGTGAAAATATGTTCACAGAGCCATAGTAGCTCTCTGTGGTTGCAATTGCTGGAAAAACAGGATTTCTAATGCTGTGGAGGATCTCTGTGTCAATAGAAAAGGCTCCTTCTTCAGTTACCCTCCAAGAATCCTGGGTAATGAATCTGACAAATGAGAAGGATTTCCTCCCCATGCATTTTTAAAAAATTAGTTATACCCCAGCTTTTCCCTCTTGCAAAGAATGCAAGACAGTTTACGTACTCACCTTCTCTGTTTCACCCTCACAGCCGTCCTGTGTGGCAGGTTAGCTTGAAAATTAGTAACTTGCTCAAGGTTATGGAGTGAATTTCATTGCTAGACAGAGACTAGAATTCCACTCCAAGTCCTAGTCTAGCACTCTAACCACCACCAAGGTGACAGGATCCAGAGTGTGAGCAGCAGGTGTCTGGGCAGATGAATCAGGGCCCAGGTGACAAGACCCAAGGCAAGGCAGAGTGTAAACACACAGCTAAGCCCAGTAATGAAATCAGAGACAGAGGCAGGGTCAAAGAACAAGCTGAAATCAGGAACCAAGAGTGAGTGAGTAGCAGAGCAAGGCAAAGATGTGGTCATGAACAAGCCAAAGGTCACAAACTGGTAAGAAAACAGAGCAAGGAGCAGGTACTTTACAGCAGGATAACCAGGTGGGATTCAGGTGCAGTGAAGATGTGGCAAGCGAGGTGAGGGAAGACAGGCAGGAGCTGAATGAGGTGCAGGTCAAGCAAGATTGAGGCACTGGAACACATGGGAACAAGCAGGAGACCTATATTGTCGAGGAAGCTTCTGGAGGCAAGAGCTTGCTTTTATATACCGCATTCCCAGATGGTGCTCATCAAGAGCCTGCGAGCACCAGTAGGACCTGGGCCCAATCCTGCAAGTACCAGGGTTTGTCGTTCTGTTCTTGGCCAACAGATGGCGCCCTGGAGCTGCCCAGATTCTTACAAAAGCAAAAGGCTATCAACTGCTTTCAGAACGCCTGCATGGAACTTGAATTCTACAAACTTTTGGCACTTTCTAAAAACCCATCTGTTCACCCAGGCTTTTGACCAGTGGGGTAAAAGGGAGAGTGGGTCTCCAAAAGGCAGTATGGGTTATCTTCCTGAACCTCCAGAGATAGTTCTTGCTCATTGTTCTGGGAGCTGACTACGAAAATACTTCTTTTTAATGTAACAGTGCCTCTTTTTCTTTTCCAAAAAACATATCCTGGGGTGGATGTAGGCACAGTCATACATAGTCCAGGCCCTTTGAGTAATTTAGTATTGATTGATTGATTGATTGATTGAACTTACATTCCACTAAATTGACTTTAGGGCTGTCTCAGTAGATTACAGTCAAATAAAAACACATCATTATAATGACAATAAAAACAAGCTGTTAAAACACAAAAAGCAAAAGATAATAAAATGAAACAGTGCACATCAATTAATTTAAAACTGCATAAATTAAAACAAGAGACTCGTTAATATTATCCAGATAAAATCAATTGTTAAAATGACTAGAAAATAAAGTTGTTTTTGCCTGGCAACAAAAAGATTATAGTGAGGGCACCAAGCACCACCACTGCTTTTAGAGGCTGTTCCAATGGTGGGGTTCAACTACTGAGAAGATAGATCCTAGCAGTGGGTATGACTATTCTTGGTGCCTACTTACTAGCATGGTCCTTTGGGCAACGCTGCCCCTTCCTCTGTGAAGCGAAGGACTGAGCAGAAGTCAGTGTGGCCTAAAATTTTTGGAGCTTTGGGGTATGAGCTATTTTGCTACAAGGCAAGAAAACTGGTGCCTTTCTGGTCCTTCTGCTCTCTGACTAGGAAAAGATAAATCATTTCTTCACTGAGATAGCATCTGAAAAATGTAATTATATTGGGCCTATTTTATTACTGGCTACTTACCATCTTCTGATGGAAGATTTCCAAATAGAACATTTTTCTTCAGAAGTGGAATGCATGAGGCAATGAGAGTGGGAGGCAATAGACAGACACAGGATAATGGGGAAAATGATGGAGACCTAGGACAACAGTTCTGCTTAGACCAGCACGACAAACCTTTTGCACAAGGCTCCTAATTGCTGTATTTTCTATTGGTTTTGTTGCAGAACTGATTATCGGGGTCCACCGCTAGGACATCGGTGGGCAGAGACTAGGCAAAAGCAACGGAGGCACCAGGTCCAGGGTAACCGAGCTGCAGGCAAGACAGAGTTCAAGGGCAAGGTTTGATGGGAGCTCCAAATCATGGTCATGGAACAGGCTGAGGTCAGGAAGCACGAGAAAGCATGAGGGAAGAACACGGATGTGGTCAGGATCAAGCCAAGGGTTAAGAACCAGGAGCTGCTTGCTGCAACTATTCTCACAGAGCTCGTAATACTGACGTGCCAGAAAGATATTCCTGCACTTTCGGCAGATCTGTCTGAAAGGTAGACTTGTCAAAGACAATGTAATGTTGCCCTTCTGTATCAAAGACTCAGTTTTCCCAATGCCCAAATCCCGTATAACCACAATTTCATAGTATTACACATGCAATTCAAGTTACTTTGATGCCAAGTTCTTAGAAATCTCTAGGTAACAAAGGGTTTCATAAGCGTCTGTCCCTTCTTTTATTGTGCCTTTTCTATTTTACATTGTCTTTTTATCTTTATTTGCACTTTTCCAGTCTCTCATTATGTTTCAATGTGTTCTTGTATATGCTGCATTTTTCCCTAGTAACTGTCTATGTCTCTTTAGACTGAGGTGATCGCCCATAGTGAGTTGTGAGGCTTTGTCTATTACAAAATAGACAAATGGCATCTCCAGGCAGTTACAGGCAAATGGCATCTTCAGCAATTAAACCAAACATTTTCCAAACAGTGAAATATATTGTTCATGGCTGCAGATGTCCTACTGCTATAAGATACCATTGTTCAGTTTATATTTTATATAAAATAATTTATTTTAGTTTTAATTTATATACTAAATGAGAATCAGGACACTCAATTATGCATCTTCTATTTCTGTCTTTCAGTCTATTGTTACTTCTTATGTATTGTTTGCAATGGACAATGTCAGTGAGCAATAAAAAAGGATTGTGTGTCCTTTAGTAGCGACCAAGAAAGGCAGTTCTATCCTAGTTCTTGATTGATGGACACACTGAACTGTATCAAGTACAATGCTCAGGATTCTCAAAATGAAGAAATCCAATGTTTACTGGCAATCTGAACGAATGGCTATACTGCCTTGCCCAAGTCAAGCCAATCAATTTCCAAATCAAATGCCAGCTTCAGTCACAAGGGAGAACATAGTATAAAAATACCATCCATAAAATGAGACTTACAGATTTTAAAAAGCTGAATGAAAATAAAGCATTTTTAAACAAACAGAATTAAAAGTGTGACAGTTGAAATAAACAGCCCCGGCCAATGAAAACCTGCTGCAAGAACAGACCAGTTTATATGCCAAAAACGTGCCTAAGTAAAAACAACTCTCCTTATCAGTGGCAGAACAATCCAATGGGGAGCCCCCGGTAAAAAGGTGCTCTCTTGTGTGTCCCCAGCTAATGTGCCTCTGATGACAGTCGGGCTGTCCTTTAATGACCTTAAACAGCTGGCAGGCACATAAGGGAGAACGTGCGGTTTCAGGTAGCCTGGCTCCTGGGGCTTTACGGAACGTAACCAGCACTTTGAATTGTGCTCAGAAACAGTTAATGCAACTATCACAGCAAGGGAGTCAAGCACCTTCTGGAACCGCCCCCGGCGCACAATCTCGCCACAGCATGCTGGGCCAACTGAAGTTTCAAACAGTGTTTAAAAGGCAGCCCCCACATACAGTAGTCCAAATGAGATGTGACCGAGTCAGGCATGAGCATGCCGACATCTTTAGGAATTGGCCCAAATGGCATGCTCGTCCCAGCCATACAGACGCATCCCTCACCACCATCAGAATCTGGGCATCCAAGTTAGTGGCTGGACCCAGAGTACATGCAAACTATGAGGCTGAGTCTTCAGGGGGATCCATCACAGACTGAATTCCTGTTTCCTGATGTGCCCTTTGACTAACCAGGATTGCCTTTGTCTTGTCTGGAATACCTTTTGATTTGTTTGCTCCCATTCTGATACCAGACACTGACTCAGAACTAGAACAGTTTCTTTCAGTTTAGATGGAAAGGAGTGATGGAATTGGGTGTCACCAGCATACAGGTGACACTGATCCCCACAGTCCAGACAACCTCATCCAGCAATTCATGCATGTGTAAAGATGGAACCATGGCAGCTAACAGAATTCCCCCAGCACCACCTTCTGAAACCAACTCTCCAAGAAAACGGAAAGCCATCATAGACTAGTGTCTCTATGTTCCACCTCAGAGAGATACCTCAGAAGAACATCACGGTCAATGATATTGAAGCTGCCTAGAGGCCTAACAGTATCAACATGGACACACTCCCTCTGCCCAGTGCCATTGTCTAAGAGTGTGTGAAATTGGATAGCAAGCATTTCTTCATTTACCACTTTTCATCGATAAGACCACTATCTGACACCACACATTTATGCTGATAAAGTTAGAGTTACAACTGCATAGTATGTTCTTTTTTTGTGCACAGTGAAAAACATGAATATATCTGGCAGGCACCTCAGGAAAACTGAACTTGCTTAAGAAATCCTCTTAACTTCATACAATGTGAACCTTGGAAAACAGAACTGGAGTGCTCCTTTGGGGGATCTTTGCAATCCAGTTTTATTTTTCCCACCCTGAATGATTTGATGTCCTCAGAAAACTGCTCACTCCTAGCTCCAGATCATTGAAGAACAGGTCCTAAAGCAAGTTCCTACGATTCTGCCTCTTACATTTCTCCATTGTGGGAACTGTCCATTTAACTCTGCTTCCTGCTTGCTCTTCTTTACCCAGTTGCCAATTCATAAGAGGCTCTTTTGTCCCCACACTAGGTGATGAGCTTTGTCAAAAGCTTTTTGAACATCCAAGTACAGAACTTCCACTGGATCACCTAATCCATATACTTGTTGACACTCTCAAAGAACTCTCTTAAATGTTGGCTATTGTTCAGCAAGACATTTGTTCTATGTGCTAGATAATGCCTTCTTTAAATAATACTTTCTGACAATTTACCCAGGACAGATATTGCATTAACTTTCCTGGATCCTCACCCCAACTGGGATTTAAAAGCTGGTATTACTCTGGCTACTCTGGCAGTCCTCTAGTGAAGGGTAGTCTTGGGGATTTGTTCTATGTCAAAAAGGCCCAGACCATAATCTCTTGTCATCACTATTTGCCTCAGTACCTCAGACTCTCTTTCTTCAAAAGCTGGTTCAGACATGCCTTCTGCCCTACAAGACTTCTTGAAACACATGTTGTATGTCATGCAAGAGATCAGACATGGTCTTCCCTGCAGGCTGGTAGGAGCTACTACGTGGCACCAAGCTGGAATTCTTCCTTCAAGAGGGTGAAGCCCATTACCAAACCCTGACGCCGTCTGTTTCCCAGATCCCACTTCAGATGGATGTTCTGACTACTTACCACCGCCATGGCGCTCTCCAGTTCTCTCACAGTGCCAACAATACCCACCAGTGCAGCAATGGTAAGAATGATGCTCAGGCATATCCCAGTGTAGAAAACTGAGGAACAGAGATAGGATACCAATAAGAACAGGAAGTGCTGCCATTTTAAGAAGCTGTCCACTCAATCACTATTCTGCAGTAGGTAGTATCCTTTCCAGAAATGGACCGAAAGGCTTTCCTTAAGCCCTGGTTTTGTAAGGAAAGCTGCACTGCAGACAGCACTGGTTGCTTCTGTGCATCATGGTCTAATTCCTAAGAAAATTTCCAACGAAATCAATTCCAACACTGTTCTGACCATTTTAAAAAAATATCCTGCCTTTTATGTGAGAAAGGACACTCTGCCATATTCTGATGTGAAACAGGAGGCACTGAAGGCCTCCGCTAAATCAAGGATGCAGAATCTATTGTTCACAGGCATGATCCTGGCCTGTGGAGCCTTTTAGGGACCCTGCATCGGGCAGGGTTTGGCTTCCCAGGCCATCGCTCTGTAGGAATCATCTGCTGGAGGTAATCCCTGCTCTTATCTCTGTCCTGATACAGGTGACAGCAGTGACAGTAGTGATGCAGTTGACAGCAGCCACCAGGCGATCCTGCATAGTGCCCCCATTTCTGTGCACAAGGCAAAATGCAGCACATGGTCCTTGTGAGCCCCTTTCTCCATCTCAGCAGGAAGAACACAGACATGCAACGATGGCAGCAAAGGTCACCGTGCCCCAGTCGCAGCCAGCCAGTGCAGAGCCATCTTCCAGAGGAGAGATGGAACAACCTGTGCCACCACACGGGGAGGAACGCCAATGATCACGCAGAATATGTCAGAAGGTACACTCCATCTCCTATGTCTTTCCCAATTCTCTTTGCAATTTCCAAGTCTTATCTTGGGTTTTCTCCCATTTAGAGCTAGTAGGTCATTAAAGTTGGTTGACTTAAAAAAAAAGTCTGACTACTGATTAAATCATTTTAACTGACCTTTTAATGATTAAACTTAAATCCATTTGCATATCCCCAACATTTCAATATAGATGCCATTTTGAGATATTAAATTTTGCAAAGCTACCACAGTGTTAGAAGGAAAGGTCATCTTTTAACATTTTCTTTTCACATTCTCTATTGTAATAACATACCAGTCACAAAATACCAGAAAGGATGAAAGTGTACCCTCACATTTCAATTCCAACTTAAAATGTGCTCTCAGAGGTTTAAATTGCCCTTACTGATTCATCAGTCAAAGCATTTGTTGATCAATCTGTGATTAAACTGATGTAAATTTTCAGCTAGAAAGAAAGGTTTGCAACAAACAGATCAATTTAAATTCAGTGCAGCGATGGGATGTCCCCTTGCTCTCCCCCACACTCTGGCTTCTCATGAGGCTGCAGCTCTCCTCTGGAGGAGGAATCTGTTCTGCCTGTGATTTCCATTGGCAGACAGGAAGGATGAAATCCAGCCCAAAGACTCCAGGATTTCTTTGGCACATGCACATAAAGCCTAGGAATTGCCACTGTGAGTCCTATTTAAAATAGCACGTGAAATAAGCAAAATAATACATTTTTGCCTCTGAAGCAAAATTGGTGAACTTTTACCTTGCACAGTAAAGTTACAAGAGCGAACCTTAACCAGGGTTTCTGTTCCCCAGAGCCTCTGGCACTTACCTATGGTGTGCAAGGTTCTGTAGGAGGAGTTTGTGTCCAAAGAGACATCGTTTATTACAGTGAAGTGCTTGCCCCGATAGGTGACGATGGTCAATATGCTGACTGATAGTCCAAGCAGCTGAAAAGGAAAAGGAAGTTAACAGAGGAAAACCAAAGGATGGACTGCAAATCAGATAGGAGCTAGGATGAATGATGCTTTGGTCCATGTAGGTTATTTCACATTTATTTATTTGATTTGACTACCCTGCTTTTGGAACAAAAATAAGGCCAGCAGATATATTAAATCTTTTAGTGGGTTTTTATTTTAGTCATTGGGTGAGACTCCAAGAATCAACCGCTTGCAGAAATCTACACTTCGAAAATCATTCAATAAATTAAGATTTTAAATGCAAATATTGCACAGTAAAATTCAGCATCTGTAATGCACTCAGTTATATTCATTTCAAGAAAATTAAGAGATAAGTTGGCTGATGCCATTTTAAAAATATGTCAGTGGCTATCTCATGGTCATTATGAAAAAGCAAAAGAAAAAAAAATATATCCACTGAAGAGCAGATCCATTAGCACCTTCCTTTAAGTTATTGGCAATGCATTTTTTCTGTTTGTGGCCTGGGGTATTGAAGAGAATTATGGCCATCAGGTAAAAAGTCCACACAATCCACTCTTTGCTTGGTCCTGCAGTGACAAAAGTGAGAACTGTATGGATCTTTAGACATTCTACCTTTTAACACCACTACAGATGCCATGACTTGAAATCTGGCAAGAGTAAATTCTCTCAAATTAAAAACATTAGCCCTGAAATGATTATCCTCCAGACTTGGTTTGTACTGTGGTAAAGTATACCATTCGGCAATCTTTCCCATTCTAAGAGACAAATGGTCTTAGTGTGTGTATCACAGACTCCGAACTGAACCATCGGTGTGCGGATGTTCTCCTGGGCCTCCTTTTGAGGAAGCCCAGCAGGCCGTGGCTCATTTCCCACCAGCATCTGGCCCATTGTGCTTAATCTTCTGTGGAGGAGGCTGACCTCAACACAGCTTATTCCATCCCTGCTTGGCTTGGTGGCCACTTGGGTTGTGATGGAGCACCTTCTGCTTGGTCTCCTCTGGGGGAAACCAAGCAGAATGTGAATGGGTTTTTTTGGGGGGAGGGGGGCTGTCATGTGTCACTCCATTAAGTCCCATTCTGTGATTTGGGGTGGAGAGGAGCTTCCCCAAGCAGGAGCATCCCCCACTCTGGCTGGTGGGGACCCCCTGCAAGTCAGAGTGAAGGTAGCTCTGTTCCTGTTTGTTATCACCATGAGCACCTGCTCTAATCACAGCACTTCCTGCCACCAGTGGGGGGAGGTGTAGCTATGGGGAGAGGAAGGACAACTCAGAGTTTTTGCTGGGTCTCCCAGGGTACCTGCGGGAGGAGCAAGAGGGCAGGAGGATGGGGAGGTGGCTCGCACCACGATGTGCCCGCGCATTTGTTAGGCACACGGAGGGTCCTGGGGCAAACAAGCCGTACTGTGTCACTCTCTATGCAGAGAGGATTGTTGTATCATGTGAACTGCCCTCAGTGTGATGTCTCTACTTCTGCTTCTATTCAGTTTTAGTTGAACCAATTTGTCCTTTATGGCTTTTGTGACCTCCAAAAGGTACTGCTACTTGCTTTGATGTGTTCTGAACTTTTTGAACGATGAAAGTTACCAAATGAAATTATACACAGTACACAAATTACGCATTCACACACACAGTGCCACCAACTGACTAGACAAGGAATGCATATAGGCAACTTTACATACTTATACTATAGGCTCTGTATAATCCTTCTGTGCCATTCTGAAAGTTAGAATCAGAAGTCAACTCTCAGGACACTAAGATACAGCAAGCTTGTTGCAAGTCAAGTTCCTTAGTGTACTTTCCTCCCCTCCCCAATTGACACTGTAATAATGGTTGACTTCCTGCACTTGCTACTTTTTAAGAAAATCCATAACACTAAATGTATATGTTATATATCCCTATATATTTTATATATAGCAAGAGATTATTAAAAGTAATTATGTATAAACTTCTGCCAGGTGATCATGCATAAACTGCAGCCCAAATATCCATATATTTGTCCATTTGTAAACACCTAAAGACGACCCCCTGTTCAAAAATCAAAACTCTCATACAGTCTTCTACCCATTGTGCTAGTGCAGCTGGCTGATTGTTGTTCGGATGTTGTAGTATTAGTCTTTTAGCTGTCGAAAGGACACAGTAAGTCCATTTGCACTGATCTTGTACTAAAGTCCAAGAGAAGAATCACAGAATCGTATAGCTGGAAGGGGCCTAGAAAGCCACCGGGTCCAATCCCCTGCTCAGTGCAGGACTCACGCCTCTCATCCAGAGTCTTACCAGGATTGACTTGGCTTAGTTTTCAAGGTTAGGCAGGATCAGGCAGTTCAGGCCATATGGATCATGTACTGTTAAAGATCTTTCCTTCACAAAATGTATCCAAATTGTTACCTCCTCCCTTAAGGAAGGAGTTTTTGGCAGACCATATGACTAAGAGACGCATTAGCTACATTATGCCTTCCACAACTGGCTGATCGAGAGACATTGTGGCATGCAGTATACTCAGAGCATCCATTTTTGCTCAATTGGACATAACTCTTCTGAAAAGATGCCAGTCAATCACGCCATTGATAAGGTAAGATAAGGTACTCCAATTCATTATTCCATTCTTGCTCAAGACCCTCTGTAACATATTTATACACCAATAATTGATATGGATACACATGGATTGTAGGCTTACATAGTCATTCAGCTTCAATCAATACTTCCAAAAACACACATGTCTCTGAAACAGTGAAAGCAGCCAAACAAATGTTTCAATTGCATATATTTCCATTTTGCCATAGCTGGCAATTTACAGTTAGCATGCAAAGTGGGAAATGGCAGAAAGTTAATCATTGGGATTTACAAGCTAATCCCAAGTAAAAATCAGGCAACCTGAGATCTCAGTAATAAACTTATTCATTTAGTTATTTACTCTCTTAATAGTTTGACATATATCTCTAGAGATTCTAAAGTAAGTAATAAACTCAGCACAAAGTTTAAGTCGTCAGTTAGTTACTATATTATGGAGTATATTGTTTGCAGTCAACCCCAGTTCACACTTTGACTAGTTGATAGAATAACCAGATAAATATCCAAATTTATTAATCCATCAAGGCTGGAACAGATGACTGGAGTTAAAATCATTGGCATAAAGAATAAGTTCATTTTCTGAAGCATTATACACATGTACATGAATATTAGAGGTTTTTTAGTTAGCATATACCAGCTTCGACATATAGGACAAATATCAATGGAGAGAGAGGATATCCCTATCTGGTACCTCTCTCAACCAGGAAAAATACCAGACTGCTGGTCATAGCTCTAGCACTTGGGTTTTCATATAAAACTTGAAATTCTGGAGGAAAACAAAAATTTCGCAATGTGGCAAAAATAAATTTCCAATGAATTTTATCAAAAGCTTTCTCTGCATCCAAAGAAATAATAGGAGCTATACCTGTTTTGTCCTTATTTTATGAAATCAGATCTACAGCTAATCAGAGATTGGCAGCCTTCTACTTGTTTTTATTAAATCCCATCTGATCCAGTTGGATTAACATTGTAATGGCTTGTGTGCCAGCCAGAACTGTACTTAATATTTTGTTGCCAACATTAAGCAGTGAAATAGGTTGATAATTAGCATGCAATCTATATCAGGCTGGGAATGATAGTAATATAGACATGGCTAAGTGCTGACAATACAGAACCCCATGAAGAGATGATGTTATACAGATGACAAGCCTGGGAATCAAAAACTTTTTATACCACTCAACTGAAAATCCATCCAGACCACCTGATTTTCACGTTGGTTATTAGTTTTGTAATTTCCTCAATATGCAAAGGTGCCAAGATCACCAAACAAAGACTGTCATGCTTTGGTCATGTCATGAGAACTGACCAACTGAGTCAAAAAGTCAGTCATGCTGGGAGTCATCAGCAGAAAAAGGAGGAGCCGCCCCAGCTGGACCCCATGAAGAAAGACACTGGGATGGACATGGAGGTCTTGAAGGAAGCAGTGCAAGACAGAGAGGCCTAGAGAGCACTGATCCACGGGGTGCCCAAGGGTCCGACACAACTGATTGGTCGACGGCGAAGACACAAAGGTGCCATTAAGAGCTACACGTCCTGCTCTAGACATTTCACAAGCTCTGCTAAAAATTCTCAGTTAAATATTAAAGGACTGTGATAAGCATATTCAGTAGTCAGATGAAAGTCTTCTTGTAATGTCAAGCCTTGCAGCAAGACAGACTCTACATAATCTGTCAGCCTTACCTCTGAGCAAGCATTCGCAATGTAGCTCTCCATGGGGAAGCTTCCAAAAGCGAAACTTAGGTGGAGGCTGTATTGTGAAAGGCCAACACTGCAAACTCATGTGCAATAATTCTGACCGTCAAAAAAATCCAGGGGCCCCTGTAGTGCTTCAACTGAGTCTTGGAGAAGTTCTGTCTTCCTGTACTGATGAGACAGCTCCAAAAGCACCATTTTCAGCAGAGTAACAATTTCATTTTCTTCTCCCCTCACTGCCCATTTTAGAAACCTTACCAGGTGGAAGATTAGGTGCAGTTCCAACACTTTTGGAAGCAGCCATGATAAACTCCTTTAACAAATCCTCACAGGCTTCAAGTAGTTACAAAATTAAATTATTCTTAACGCTATGAGCAGTCTAGCAAAAAGTAAATTAAAAAAATGCTGGTGTTAATAGCATTTTTCAGAGATGAAAATTAGGAGATACTGCAGCATGGCAGACAACTTTCTTTCCTCTTAAGCCCTCATGTTCATCTGAGCAGCTGAATAGGGTTCATACAACTGTATGGAACATGGTTTCCATGTGCGCTCAATTCTTACAGTGCATCAAATAATTCAGATGGGGGAAGAGCCATGTAACTTCATGGAGGGTGGGAAAGCCATCTGGACAGAATGCATGATTAATCCAGATTGAATATTACTGTCTACCAACCATTCATTATTTTATCTTCTTGCCTGCTTACTGAATTCAAGCAGTACCCATATCCTCTGAGCAGAACCAGCATAGACTCAGTTATATGGTGGGTAAAAACTTATAAAAGTGCCACTGACAATGCAAGGGAAGGGTAGCGGTGGGAAGCCTCTTGCCAGCTGAGGAAAGGGAGAACGGGCAATAGTTCCAACAGCTACTTTTCAGAACCTTCACGGAGCTGCAGGCAAATCGTGCCGACTCATCCGCATAGATGGCCTTGTGAAGAAGTGACCCATCCTGAGATGATTCGTCTCATTGTACCACTGACAAAATTCCCAGATACTTTAATCAATGGCATTTATAAGTCAGTGGGCCTTGTTTTCAAGAAATACTTTCCATTCACAATAAATCCCAACAGCGAAAAGCTTTGTTTCACAGAAATTACTCCAAAAACTCATCTCAAGTTGCATCTCCCAGATATAGGTCAACAAATAGGGTTATTTCAGAAATTTAAATGCATATCGTTCTTATTACAATACACAAGGAGACGACTGATACACGGTTTAAGCCATTAAATTTCGCGAGAGTTTTTTCTGAGACCTCTAGAATGACATGACAAAACCCCCACAAGCTTCTGACTAAGAGAAGGCTCTGCTGTGGAGAAGTGATAAGACGTTAGATACACTGGCGACTCTTGCAGCTTAAGAATACAACACACATATTTCTTTAAAATTAACTTCAGGTAATAGTTTTGTTAATGAAATTAAATTACCACCTCTGGTAAAATTGCAGTAATCTGTTTAGTCAGCACAATTTCTGCAAAGCTCCCACTTCATTACCATAACGAAGAGGCTGGCTGCCAGCAGCTGACACTTCACAGCTCGGACCCAGTATCTCCACTTCATGTTTTCCTCTTCTTACCAGCTACTGACAATCATTCTACCACAGGAGTTGCTAAAGAGCATGTTTGTAAAGATGGGTGGGCTTGCAGGAAGCGCTTGCGTCAGTGCTTCTTGAGAAACGTGATTCTATTGGTCTCCTAATACAGTTCCCTGTGAGAGCACTAAGACTTTCCATTCATGTTTCTCCAAAAGATTAACTTCGATAACTGCCAAAACAGCAAGGTTTCACATGACCTCACAGTAACTTCTTTGTGCAGAAGAAGGTCATGGTCAATACTCGAGGAGCTATATGCTCCAGAGGGCCAGGAGGAGGACCCTCTGGAGCTGGAATCAGCAATCCGTAGTCTTCAACCTAATCTCAAAAGTCCTTGCAAGGGACCAGTTCAGACCTCTGGCAAGGCAGCTCTTCTCCTCTCCAAGTATGCAGCTGTTTATCATGAGGGCTGAGCTGAGTGGAAAGACTCTGGATCTGACAATGAAAGAGGAAGTGCCAGGGCATCTATGGAGGGTCTCTCACTTACGGCAGCTTGCCAAGAGCAGATTGGTTGAGCACCCCAGCAACTGCAGAGAGCTCGTTCCGCTAATCTAAGGCCTGTGTGTTTTTTTATCTTGATGAACATGCTGGGAGCAGTGGATGAGGGAGAGCATGAGTCAGAGAGAGAGAAGAGGATGGCAACCAATGCCAAGATGGGGTGACTTCACTCAGTTTTGCTTGGCCAATCCAGCACTGGCTTCAGCCCTGTCTATCCCTGGCATGGGGATAGATTACTGAATAAAAGGTTCCCCATTTCTGCTCTGGAGGGAGGAAGGTATGACAGATGTGGAGAGGTAGGACAGAGCACTCACCAAAGTCCAACAGTAGCCCCAGGGCTGTAACTAAAAAGTCACTTCTCAGGAAAAAATAGGTAATCTGAATTCAAAGACAAAGTCAGAAGTGGAGCACTTGGGAAGAAGTGAAGACAGGAGGCCAAAAAGATCTGGCTGGCAGTCACAGGCAAGGAAGTGCAGGCTGGAGCGGCTGCAGTGCCTGCTCCAGGATTTTGGGGAGTCCTGGGAAAAGTGATGTCAGAGGGCATCCTTAGCTCAGAGCAATAACTGGTGTAAACTAAGCCACTTCCCATAGAGCTTTTGAACTTGGGTGCACCACATAAAAGAGAATGGTGGCACTGCTGATGCCGCCAGTCCTCTTGGGGCTCTGACTGGGCCAAACTGGCCCTGGCCCTGAGCCAACTGCTGAAGAACAGGAGACCAAAGGAGCATGCAAGGAGAGGACATGCAATTGAGACGGGAGCTAGGATTTCAGCTGGATCAGCCAGGGCCACAAATGCTCAGGGGTAGTTGGATAAAATTAGAGATGACAGCATCTTGGCAGAGAAGAAGGTCTTTGATCTGTGGAGCAAGCTCAGAAAGTAGCTCCCACTAGTAGCTGCCTGTGCTGAGGACAGAAACATCCTTGGATCAGTACCGGCCAGTTCTAACACATCACCATCGTTACAGTGTTGCAGGGTAAATAGAACAAGGAAGACAAGGAGGAAAAAGAAAAAAGGCATCCAAATAGAAAAGGAGTTGTGAGCAAAGCCGAATTGCACAATACCAGGCTCCAACTATGCAGAACCAGTTTTTCACAATCTTGCATCCTGCAGCTATGTTTTACTTTCTTTCATGGTTTTAAGCTTGCTCTTGTAAACTGCGCAGAGAACTTTGCATAATCAGTAGTAGAGGAAATCAATAAATAATAATAAACAAACTTTGCAAGATACAGATGAATTTTAATCCCAGCAAAGCTGTTTTCTACAGGTCGCAATTATGGGTATGCAAGTTACTAGAAAAGCATTCTGCCTCACAAATGAAAAGGAAATTGTCAGACTTTTGCAGGAGGCATGGCAGAAGATAAGTCACCTGCACAAAAGTACAAGACCGAGGTAGGATCTGAGCACCAACATGTTAAGCAATTCTTCTGAAATCAAGATATCCATATCTTACAGCAATTCCAGCTGCTGGTAAGAAAATAAGTAAATTAAAAAATGTGGGAGGAATAGAAAACCTTGGAGGATAAAGGAAGGAAAAGTGCAAGATGGAGACATTTGTTAGCTGCCAAATGGCTATGCCTGGTCCAAGACATTTTGCTGCATGAGACAAAATACAGGATGCTGCCCATCTCCATTCATGTACAAAGTGGAGTGGCAGTTGCATCGTATGTCAATACTGCAGTGCCTGCACTAGGCATAGGCAAGATGGTGCCCGTGGGCTCCAGTGCAATCTCAGACACCTTTCCTAATATGACAAATTTAATGCATTTTCCTTCTAAACTTTTTTTTAAATAACACATTTTCTGCTGGCAGCTGGCTCTACTGAGTTACAAGGTTCCTGCTGGTGCTGAAAACTGGGTTTAGTACTGGAGATCAGACTTCCACTCTGACTTCTGCTTAGTCTTTTGGGCAGTTTGCTCTTCCTTCCCCTTCTCTCCTATGACAGCCATATTGTGGTGGTGCCCAGGCAGGCTCTCAAATTGCCAAATGTGCCCTTTCTCAGTGGCCTCCAGTGCCATCAACCATGATACCCTTCTGGGCTGACTGTCTGAGTGAGGAGGCACTGCATTGTCCCTATCTGGCTGTCTAGATCCAGAATGTGGTGCTTGGGGAATATTGCTCGGGCCCATCCACTCTCTAGCAGGAGTTCCTCAAGGCTCAGTTTTGTCCCTCAAGCAATTTAACATCTACGTGAACCACTGGTGAGATCATTCGCAGCGTTCCAGCGCGCTGCTGTCGGTATGCTCATGATATGCAGCTCTACTTCTCCATCAGGTGAGGCTGTGGATGTGCAAAACTGGCGTCTGCATTAAAAAAATGGACTGGATGAGGGCTGGCAAACTGAAGTTCAATCCAGTCAAGGCTGAAATGCTGTTAGTGGGTGTAGAGTCTTTGACTTGTTCTGGATAGAGTTCCACTCCCCTTGAAGGTGCAGGTTCATAATTTGGAGTCCTCCTGGACCCATCTTGGTCACTTGGGGTTTGGGTGCTTTCTCCTAGTTTCAGCTTGTAACCCAGCAATGTCCCTGTCTGGACAGAGATGGCCTGGTCTCTCTCTCAGATTACTGCAGTGTGTGTGGAGCTTTCCTTGAGGACTGTTCTGAGGCTGTAGCAAGTGCAAATGTGGCTGCCAATAAGCAGGACCAGAACGTCTGAAAATATGACACCGATTCTGGACCACTTGCATTAGTTGCTTATAAGCTCCTGAGCCTGATGCAAGGTACGGGTTTTAACCTACAAAGCCTGACAAGTTTTGGGACTACAGTACTTGATGGACGCCTTCTTCCAGCTGTCAGCTGCCCATGCACAATAATCAAGATCCTCAGAGGGACTTCCTCTGAGTGCTACGTCCAAAGCAAACTCAGAGGACAGGGAGGAAGGGATGTACGGAAACAGGGGAGCCTCGCTTGTTTATGCTTGGTGAATTTCCTGCCATCTTTTGATCAGATGACTGGAAATGAGCCAAGTCAGTTTTATTTGCAGCCTTCTGTCTCTAAGACAGACAGCAATTTGCAGACTTAAAAAAAACACAAAAAAAAAACAAAAAACCACTAATGAAATTAGTGCGAATAAATACCTGAAAACCAAATGACTCAAGTGTAATTTGTGCAGAATCAGCCAACTTGCATAATTTATTTATTAAATGTATATTCTGCTAAATTGGCCTGAGGACCCTCTAAACGGACAATGGTAATTTCCACAGTGTATGATCTGAACAAATCATACTGGAAACACATGGTTTTAGGGTACTAATTTGCATATATGTCATTAGTATTAAAATTGCACACATTACATTGTGCCCTAGAGAAGACAGTCCACAAGCTGGGAGAACTTGCACCATGCAAGCTGGCAGCCAGGAAAATGCTAGGGTTGTGGTAAAGCTTAAAGCTGAGCCCCTTTTTGTGTGCAGGGGCCTGGAAATGCCCTCAGCTGAGCAGAAACTGTGACCAGACAACAGGAACACCCTCAGGGCTTCCTTTCTGCATGTTGTACGTGTCACCTGAATTTACTGGATGTACACCTGGGGGTTAGGCTAGGGGTGAACCTTCAGGTTAGGATTAGGGTCAGGAAACCTGGGTCCCTGTGCATATCCCCTGGCTTGGAACTAGCCTTAATTAGTTAGGCAGAAAGAGCAAGTGGTCAGCAAGAATACCCTACGTTCTGCCTTTCTGTGCGGTGCTTGAATTATAAAGGTTATGCATGTTAGGGCTGGGAGTGAAGCTTCAGGATGGTGTTACAGTTATGGAAACTTGGATCCATGTGCACGCCCATGGGCTTGGAACTAGCTTTGATTAGGCAGAAAGAATAGAGAACAAGAACACCCAGAGCCCCCTTTCTGCATGTTGACTGAATGTTTCAGGATTTTATCTGTGCATTAGGTTTGGGGAGTGCCTGGGCCTTTGTGCGACTCCAGGACCCTGGAACTGCCCTCTCTGGGGAAGCACAGAGAGCCGCCCACAAGTGCACCTTGAGTGCTGCCTTCTGCATGTTCTCCAGGGTTTGGATTTGTTTGCAAGTCAGCATTAGCGTCAGGAAAACCTGGATCCTGGTATATGCGCAGGGGCTTGTAACTATGACGGATTGAGCAAGCAGCATGAGTAGTCAATAAGAACACCTTTAAGTGCTGACTTTGTTCTGAATGTATAGGAATTATATCTGGGTGTTAGGGTTGTGATTAAGTTTGAAGTTAAGTTTATAGTACCAGAAAAGGAAAACTCAGATTGTTAGAGTGTCTTTCTCCCTTCCATTCTAAGGATCATAAGTATAAGTCAGGTGGCTTTCTTTTTTTCAGACTCCCTTTTCTAAGTTGGACCCTGATACATGCACATTTTAAACCACTAATGATATTTGCACAAAGAAGCACCCCAAAACCACACAGTTCTAGCACAACTTGTGCAGAATGGGCCAACTTACATAAGACCATAATTCATGCAAAATACAGTTTGTGGATATTATCTGTTACAGACATCTGTAATCAGAGGTAATCTCCTCTGTGATCCAGCGTAATTACTTTAATATCTTTTAAAAGATAAATTATTTAGGACAGTGTTAAT